AACGCCGTAATCTTCAAGCTTTGAAAGGAGGATGGTATGGTTGACAGTATCCAAGGCTTTAGAGAGGTCCAAGAATATACCGACTGTGAACTGACTGTCATCAAAGGAATTTAAGATGTCATTAGTAAAGGATAGCAGAGCACTCTCAGTCGATCTTCTAGCTCTAAATCCAAACTGGGAGTCTGTAAAGATGTTATTGGCATTGCAGAAGGAATTTAGTCTATTACATGCTAGCTTTTCCAGTATCTTACTCAAGGCTGGGAGGACTGATATGGGGCGGTAATTCTTGAAGAGACCTTTGTCCTCAGATTTTTTATATGCCGGGTGGACTTTAGCAATTTTCAGTTTATCAGGAAAGACACCACTAGTGAAGGAGGAGTTACAAATGTGGAGAAAAGGTAGTCATAAGTGGGCCACTTTCTTAATGATGCTCATTGGTATATTGTCTTCGCCTGCTGCTGCATCTTTGGAAATTTTTATGATGGCCAGGAATTCATCTGCTGTGATAGGGGATAAGAATAGCCCATTTTGCTGTCTGTTTTGCAGGTAGGCTCCAAATTCCTCATGGTGATCAGGGATGCTCTCTGCAAGATTTTTGCCAACATTAATAAAATATTCATTGAAGTGGTTGGCAATGGGGGAGGGTTCCGTTACAACTGAATCGTTTATCATAAAAGCTGAGTGGGGGGCCGAAGGCTGAGTGTTCCTGTTCTGAATTGAATTTATGACATTCCAGGTTTTCTTACCGTCGCCTGATGCTGACTGGAGCTTATTTGTATAATAGTTACGTCTGGCATTTCTAACTGCCTGAGTTACTCTATTTCTGATACTTCGGTAAGCATCACCGAAAGTTATGGGTCTTTTTGCAAATTTCCTTTGGAGTTTGTGTTTTTCCTTTATCATTATCTTAATTTCGCTTGAGATATAGGGTTTGGAAATGGATACAGTTTTCACTGACTTAGTCTTGAGCGGGAAGCATTTATCAAAGCAAGCATTGAAGATGCAAGAGAAGTTGCAGCTGTTCACGTTAGGGTTGTTGGAGGCATAGACAAGATCCCAGTTAGCATTCATTAGGTTGTTTTCAAAAAGGAGCATGTTGTCGGTGCAGTAAATATATCGTTTCTTAGGAATCTTCATTTGGGAAAAATAAGATGTACAAAAATGCTGAAGAAACGAGCTCCAGACACAAGAAATAGCAAATTATGTAAGTTCTGCTTATTTTATGACCTAATTTTACTGCCGAGATATATAAAAAAAGAAAAGAAAATGTAGGTTTATTATTATTATTATTATTGTTGTTATTGTTAATATTGATGAATATCGTTGTTAATGTTAACATAATATTTTTTATGGATCGGAGACTGGGGTATAATATCCCTCGCTAGCACCCCCCCCCCCACTCACCCCCCGACCCCCCGAAGTCAGGTTGAGCAGTATTCGTTTGGACAAAAAGTTGTATGGTAGCAAACGAAACACAAGGTCAGAGAGACAACTTTACTCCAGACGTTTCTCCTTTTAGAAAGTCCCTCGTGACCAAACGTCGGGATTAAGTTGTCTCTCTGACCTTGTGTTTCGTTTGCTACCATACAACTAAAAGTCAGGTTAATTGGTTAAGTTAGTTATCCTCTAAATAGTTAATGATCCGTTGTATTAACATTATCCCCTGCCTTCCTTTTACTCTGCTCTTCCGAGTTGTCAAAGGTTAAAAGTCTTAATAGTGTAATACATTATACTTTAACAAGACGTGCAATTCCTACTACACTCTACACTGTGTCTAAGAATACAACACGTAAAATTCTTATAATTTTTTGTGGACGAAAATAATAACCATCAAGCATATCACGTACACCAGCATACTTAATACTTTGTAAAAGTCAAGACAGATGTCAGCAGCTGCTAGTAAAGAGGTCAGAGTGAAACTAAGTAAAGCGTAGCTACTGGCAACCAGCTATGAAGCTACATCATTAGTGTATTACCAGATCCCTACACACACATACATACACACACATACATACACACACACACCGTCACACACTACCTCATCCCTACATTTAGAGTTTAGACGATTCCCTACCTTGTACGCGCCGCACGAACGCCATCACAGCAGACTCATTATTGTCGTGCTCCCCGGGAACAGCGCTGACCCAAGAGCCTTCATCAACACCCTGTCAAGAAATTTGCCTGCGTTGAGAGACTTATTTGTGTACCAAATCAAGGTGAATTTTAGTACACGTTTAAGGGTCAATTCAAGGGTTCAGAGTTGGCATGGCGCTGATTTCTTGGGCTCATATATACTGTACATTATTATAAGTGTCCTCTTGGCTCTTAACACACACACAGAGAGCCTCCAAACCCAGTATGGTGCCAACGTTGAAACCATAGCTTGGTCCCTTAACTTGAATGTTTCCCTCCATGACGTGTGTTGGTGGCCCTCCCAGTATTAGGAAAAAAATTATGAGTGTGGGAGGATCTAGTGGACTAAAGGTACGTTCACACCAAGACCGTACAAATCCGGACGCAAATTGTCGGGAGACAGACGATATGTGACGCCGCGGTGGGTATTGTGATTTTTTCAACATAGCTAATACCTGTTACACGACTGTCTTTCTAGGGAGAGGGAAACTGTTTTCCTCTATAAGATATAATTGGAAGATTCGAATTACATGTGATTCAAATAAAGTGTGAGATATGTGTTGTTAACTTGACTCACCCGTTCGGACAATGTGTCAGAATATGTCCGTTCCGGTCTTGGTGAGAACACATCCTAAGTTGGAAAAGGTCATAGGAAAAAAATCACGTTCCTTGTTAATGATATGTGAAGAAAATGTAGATTTTTTCTTGTGACTTAATTAAAGTTCGCCGGGTTAGGGCTGGAGCACGAGGAGGCCAACAATGTGGCGGAAAAGACCTACTGCACAATTGGTGGCCCTTGTCCACTAAATCTCAGTGACTTTTCCTACGTTTCCTCACCCACCAGGGCCGGATTCAGTAGTGGGCAAAGTGGGTAGCTGCCCAGGGGCCTCCACAATCTGGGGGCCATCACATGTGCGGTAGTGGCTATATCAGGGTTGGTCGACTTGAAACCACATGAATGACTCCAGTCATGTCTCACTTTTGTGTGTGTATGTGTGTTGGGAATTTGTACACTATCAATAAATATACAGTTAATTAAAAATTTCTCAATGTTCTAATTTCCTCAATATAACTGCATATGGCTTCAAAATTCTCCAAAGAAGTGTTCAAATTTCAAAATTTTCCCGGGGGCTTACAGCGCCCCCCGGAACTCCCAGAAGTTTAGGCTCGCTTCACTCGCCACCCCACCCTCTTGGGTAGTTATAATGAGGGGGGCCTCCACAAAGAGGCTGCCCATGGGCCTCCACAGGTCTAAATCCGGCACTGTCACCCACCCACTTCGACCACCTTCTTATATCCGAGTTTCTCTTGATCACTCCTACTAGTTGTCTCACCTTGGTCCGCCTTAATTTTCCGTTGTGTCTGCCTATTGTCCTCCGTTACTCCTTATTCTTCTTGTGGTCCGCCACCTCCTGGAGTGAAGCCATTTCTCCGAATCTTCTTCACCTCCCACTAACCTCCTCAGTCTTCATCTGTGTCCCTTATGTTTTTTCTTCTGGTCTTATCCTGTATATTTCTTATCATACTACGCACTTTCATCGTTCTTCAATAGTTCCATTATCCTATAGTCCCTTCTAAGAATTATTTTACTATAGTAAAGTCTGTTCATTATGGTAACGTCAAATAGCCCCGCCCTCTTTCTCTCGTTTTGGCTTATGATTGACCAGTTAGAAACCAAATAATGAATGAAGTGGTGAAGATTGACTAAAATTTGCTTTCACAGAGAATACTGTCACATTATCCAACCACAAAACCATACGTCATATTGCTGGGCGGGACCGAGTGTGACATTTCCATAATGAACAGATTAGAGTTAGTATAGAATTGTGGATCCTTATATTACTATTCTCTAAATATGACAGTCAGGTTCATAGCAGATGCTAGGGGGGGGGGGGTCATAGGACGTAGCCTGCACCCCACATTACAGTACAGGGAATCAGTCAGTGGTGTAATGAATATATAAACTTTGCAATGTGCTTATTTGTGGCCAGATTGGAGAGGAGTATCGTTGACGCCAGTGGAAATAAATTTGTAATGGCTCTCTTACACTGGATATCCTTGATCAAATCGACAAACTGTTTATCATTGTGTTTGTACCTGCACTGTCTATGACTTTGATCCTAAGCTGAACCAACGTAAACTTATATACCGAGTTTACTGGATAAATATCGATCTGTTTATCTATCTTGTCACCCCCGGGACTTGAGGATGGCCACATCTAAATTCTTCCCCAAACATTTCACTCACTGACCAAATTGAAACGATATTTAAAGTATTTTATCGTTTGAAAATTACTTACTTAATCAGTCTTCACTTACACTTATGAAAACACGAACTTGTGGAAAGAAAATTGGTTACTGCGGACAACAAACAGAGGAAGAGAGGAGATGGAAACAAACGGATAAATCACTTAAATATACAAGTGAGGAACAGTAGAAAGTGTGTGTGTGTGTGTGTGTGTGTGTGTGTGTGTGTGTGTGTGTGTGTGTTGTGTAACGAAATGAAATCTTCTATTGATTATTACTAATACATTAACCTCATTACAAACTTTACTTCATGTGTAAGGAGATTCATTGAGTGTTAATCAGTAAAGATATATGTTTTTATTATATTGTAGTTGCACAGTACGTAAGAGAGAAGAGTGTGTGTGTGTGTGTGTGTGTGTGTGTGTGTGTGTGTGTGTGTGTGTGTGTGTGTGTGTGTTAAGGCAAGGGAAGTGACACGGGGGGATTAAAGTGGTGGGGGCCTGGGGAGGGCTATCAGGACACGGAGGTGGGGGGAGACATAGGGGTTGGTGGGGACGAGTGTCGGGGCAGGCAGGGGCAGGGGCAGGCAGGTTGGCACGGGGACACAGTGCCTGGCAGGCGGGGCAGGGTGAGGGTGTGTGCGGTGGTGCTCGCTGCCGCCAGTGCCGTCTCCACCACGCGGGTTGCCACCTCATATCAGTGTCTCCGGCCGTGACTTGTGTGACCTGTGGTACCTGTGTGACCTAGGCCTTCCGTCTCACACAAGGGTCTTCGAGGCTTTTATTGGCGACACCCTACCGAGATCATTAGTGTTGGAAAATCGCAGATAAAAGACAATGTGTAGAAACAATTAGTGTGAGATTAGCTGTTTTACGCTTGAAGAAATGTCTGTTTTAACTCATTGTGCTCTGAAAAATATAAAAACATAATGACAGTTTTTATATAAGAAAATATAAGCGTAAGTGTCTTAAGTAGGTGTTATAAGTAGTGTACCTATTGAAAAGCAAGAAGAGACGTGTACAGTGAGGAAGATTGTGTATGGATTACATGTAACCTCGAGGGGGGGGGGGGAGGAGTCGTCACCACAGCGGTAAGACATCTAACTGTGTGAGTCCGGCAGGAGGGCGGGCGGGCGGGCGGGCGTGCGTGTGTGGAGTGAGGCGCCCCCTCCCCGCCCGCTACAGGAAGTGGTGACGGGCAGCCAAGTCTTGCCAGTAAGGTACCGCGGCACTGAGAAATGTATTGGTGAGAGGCAGCCGTGTCTCTCTTCTCACCTTTCTCTATCTCCTTCCAGCACCTTTCACCTCTCATCTCCAGATATTTTTTCCTCCCAGACGTTATCCAATCCATCTCAGTACTAATCCAAAACCCCTCAATCCAGATTTCGTTGCTCTCAACTCTGAAAAGCCTCTAATCCGAACCATCTCATCTAACCTACCAGACGATTATGGAATAAACTCCAGTTATGGTGGCAATTGATCTGCTCTCTCTGTTTTTTTTTAAAGAACATCACAACCATATTGCTTGTCGGGATGTCGGGTCGTGTTTGTAAGAGTACAGTACTACTAGTTCACGGCAGATCAACCACCTCCATTATATAATAAAAGGAAAATTTAAATGATTTTGATAGCTGTGTATCAGAATGTGTTGACTGCTGTCTGTTTCTAGTCCATAAAAATCAATTTTATTGTTTTGTTGACAGTTAATAATTCACTGTACAGTTGCTGACGAAATTCCCTGAACACTAAGCAATATCTGGCATCTGGGTCATTTATATATATGATTGGTTGATAATATTAATGTTGCTTTTCATTGGGTATTATGTCGGGACCGCAAAAAAAGAATATATATAATATATATATATATATATACTGTATATATATATATATATATATATATATATATATATATATATATATATATATATATATATATATATATATATATAAAATAAGTATGTGTTTTTGTGTGTCCGCACGAGATTCTCGGAACCTACTTTACCGATCTGTAGTGATGGTGGATGGTGTTATATGTAGTGATGATGGATGGTGTTATATGTAGTGATGATGGATGGTGTTATATGTAGTGATGGTGGATGGTGTTATATGTAGTGATGATGGGTGGTGTTATATGTAGTGATGATTAGACAATAAAATAATAACAGTTTAATGCTAAAAAAATATACTTTGCTGTACCGTTGTAGTGAAAAACATGGTGGAACTTACATACACCGTTAATGAACTATTGATGGAAGAAGTTTTGGGGACTGAAAAGTGAGACAATGTGGAGCCTCCCGGAGTGTGGCGTTCTACCGTGGCCTAGCGAATGAGCGCGATTCTGCTAGTATATATATACATATATGTGTGTGTGTGTGTGTGTGTTTGTGTGTTTAAGATTTACGTAACTTTGTGATAGCTGTTTTGGTATCACATTAATTGTTTTAAATAAGTTCTGGAACTCTTAAGTGGCAGGGCTTGATGTAAACATCTCTTGTTGGCTTTTCTTTTATTGTCGAAGCGTCTATATACACAGATATATATTTATATATATGTGAGAGAATTAATTATAAATTCTCTCCAGGGAAGTGTTATGAATATTCTTTGAGAGAACACTTGAGTTACGTGTTCATCCCAGAACAAGTGGTAAGAATCTGCCCGACCCCTCGCGCCTCTGTCTGGGCGACAGGCGTGGGGAGCCGTGAAAGTGACAAGCTTTTTTTTGATTAATCAGCTAACCTACGCCTGACCTTTGTGGTACTTTCAAGCTCAGCTGTGAATAATCGCCAACAACTGAGTCATTGTTGAATAAGTTGGTGTTATTCATTTGGATAAATATTCATATAAAACAGAGGTGCTGTTGCACAAGATGTAAGGGGGTGCCCAATAAACTAGCCCCCTCCGGGGCAATCTAAAAAAATCTTGTAGTAAAGCAACAATATTAGGTTAGGTTAACGGTTCAGGTGGGGGGGGGGGGGTCATAGGTGTGTATACAGATGTGATTGATGTGACTTTGAGACCAAAAATCAAAGGTTTCATGCCATCTGTAAATCTTTTAAGGTGACCCTGAAACAATGTACAATTTTTCAGGGAAGAGAGATGCTGTACAAAGTGTACAAGGTATTGATATCGATATTGAAAGTTTATTTAGCCAGAAAAACACAGATACAGAGTCGTTAACAATAACAATATTAACATGGCTGATCCAGTTGAGGGCATGAGCTCCCTTGAAGGTACCTGATATATACTGTCTATTTATCTCAAGGAAGTGTTACATAAGAACATAAGAAAGTGGGATACTGCAGGAGGCCGACTGGCCCATACAGGGCAGATCCCTTTCACACCCATCCCAGCACTTCCATGTGCCTATCCAACTTCGTCTTGAAGCTCCCTAGCGTCCCCGATCCTACTATAGCACTCGGTAGCCTATTCCACATATCCACAACTCTATTACCAAACCAGTGCTTGCCTATATCCTTTCTGAATCGGAATTTATCTAATTTAAAGCCATTTGTTCTAGTTATTTCGTTATTACTGAGCTTCAGAACATCTTCCATTTTACCCTTGTTAATCCCACTTACCCACTTGAACACCTCTATCATATCTCCCCTAACTCTACGCCTCTCTAATGAATGCAAGCCTAAGCTTTTCAGTCTTTCTTCATATGGAAGGTTTCTAATATTATGGATCATTTTTGTCATTCTTCTTTGTACTCTCTCCAAAGAATCTATGTCCATTCTATAATAAGGACACCAGAATTGAACCGCATAATCCATGTGTGGCCTCACTAATGCTAGGTAAAGTTTCAAGATAACGTCAGCAGTTCTGTTACTCACACTCCTAGATATGAACCCAAGAATCCTGTTTGCCTTGTTGCGAACGCTAATACATTGTTTTCTAGGTTATGTAACATTTAGTATCATCTGGAATAGTACACATAACATGGTGGTAGTAAGAACATATTCGAATGTTACCTCGGTTATCACTTAGTTATTTATTTATTTTATTTATTTTTTTACATTTCTATTGTAAGTATATACATATTTTACAGTGGTGATGATATACATAAATATGATAAGGGAGGGAAGCAGTACAGCATGGGTTGCATTAAGGTGGAACAAGAGGGCAGAGCTGTCAGGAATATGTCTAGTTGGCAAATATATTTATTGCAATGGTAATTTCTATCTATCTACATCAGGGGTCACCAAACTTTTTTCACAGTGGGCCGGATAACTGAAAGAATGACGAGCGCGGGCCGCATAATCATTCTGTTCAATACTTGCAAGCCAGAACGAAAGCTCTGGTAACGTCAGAGCGTAGTTTTGAGCTACCACGAGCCGGGGAAGGACTTGGGATCCGGCCCGCGGGCCGTAGTTTGGTGACCCCTGATCTACATGATAATTTCTGATAAAACGGTTTTGGTGGTACAATAAAAGCAGGAATATAAAGTAGGTATTACAAAAATATTAATACTTAGACAATACATATTTTTTTAAGAGATGATTTAAAGGGAGGGAGTGTAGTCTTTGTTCGGATGGGTGGGGGTAAGTTGTTCCACACCTTAACACCATGATATTTTATGGAGGTGTGGGACAGAGAGGAGCGCATGGGGGTGTCTTAGTAACTCTGGGTGTCTTGAGTTGTATCTCTGTTAATATCCTCGAATTTTAAAATTTTCAATTTAGCAAATTGTTCGTTAGTGTGATCAGTTTTTTCAAGTAGTTCATTGTCCAAAACAACTCTTCTGTGTAGTAATCAGGGGTTATGTTTTTGAAGAGCCAGAGGCCCCTGTAGTGTGTGTCCATAAAGTCCCATTCTGATTTCAAACATATATTATGTGCAAATGTCATAAGATATTGAAACACAGTTTTTGCATTTACTTAGGTGGAAAACAAAACTTGAATAGTTACTCTTTCAAATGCAAAAACCGGCATTTCAATTATTTATGCCGTTTGCAGATAATAAATATTTGAAATCAGAACGGGACTTGAAGACACCCTGTACAGTATTTTGCATATTTTATTTAGAATGTTAGGCAGCCTTTTCATAATAATGTTATTTTAGGGGTTAAAGGGTGACAAAATATCTCAACCAACCCGGGTGAATTTCGATACACTGTGCAGGAGTCATCTTAAAAATTCACAGTTGACGTGATATTTGTTGTATTTGGCCCTATAAATATAGTATTTACGTCTCCTGTACAAGCACAGGCTTAATTTTTTCATCTCTAAACTCCTGATATATTGGTGATGTGAAAAAGTTGACTGACAGACTGGATATACGATGCCATCTATGAACCCGAGACTGGGTAAGTCACTTAACACTTCCTTTGTACTGTACAGTAATATTCACACAAGAAGTTTGCCAATTATAATATTCCTCGAAAGGATGATTTTTGTGCAGTTGTAATTCTTGTGAGTCGACAGATAAAGCAAAACAACTTTTATTTCACATAACACACGTAAGGTATATATTTATTCCCATTATCATATATTATTTACTTCTTGTCCCGAAAAATTTGTGACAGAGCTTCCGGTGGCGAGGGAAACCAAACGTGAAAATTTCCAATACTGGCTGTATGTTCTGTGCTTGATTATTAATGTAACTTTGTAAGTATGTGAATTTGTGAATTTCTATTGACGTTAAACTGTATATTTAAACTGTTATATTCTCTCAGTTTCTATTCTATTGTCACCAGGAAAACATGTAGTACCTTTTACTGTAAGGTTGTGACTGGTAGCAGGGTGGCGTGGGGTGTGTACACTTTGTTGTAAGATTGTGATTGTTGTTGTAAGGTTGTGAGTAGTAGCAGGGTGAAGCGAAGTGTGGCAGGGTGTGCACTCTTTGATCCTAGCGACAGTGGAGTGCACGCGGGCCGTCTGGATGAAACTATTATCCCCGTGATAGCCAGGCGCCTCACCTCACACACATGAACCCACTGGAACAAAGCACAACACTTTTT